TACGTTTTTATAATAAATCAAAGGAAAATGAGCCATCGAGACATTCCAATCCAATCTGCTGTAGACCACTCTGACCAGACGATGGCGCTGAGAGGGGTCCACACGGAGCGAGTCTTTCCACGGCTGAAAGGATGCGCTTTCTACGTGTTGTGTACGGGGTTTTATTCATGCATCTATAATGGGTTTATCTATTTCTAACCCTTTTCAAAGACCCTCACTGTTATCTGCGGAGTTATTTCTCCGGATTATTGCTAAAAGAGTCGTGGGCTTTATTTTGTCACAATAAAATAACCAGACAAGGTACTTATTCCCTGTATGTCTCTGTGTTCTTGCTCATACGCCAACAACTTTACCCGCACGCTCCATCTGCTCACCCCCGCGTGCACGCAAACACGTCACATACTCTTCAATGCACTGATCGCAATTCCAAAAGGGTAATAATGTCAGTGCCCGTGACTGTGGTTCTCCTGCCTCTGTCTGTGGTTTACCTGCCTCTGTCTGTGGTTCTCCTGCCTCTGTCTGTGGTTTACCTGCCTCTGTCTGTGGTTCTCCTGCCTCTGTCTGCGGACCTGCCTCACTGTCCAGTAATCAGGAACGGTCTCTGTCAGTCACAATATCATTCAGTGCATTTCTGGTGCATCCATCGATCGCAATGATACTGACCAGACGTCACCAGTTGATGCTCAATGACTTTGAACAGCCACATGTGTTTTATTAATCTTCCACAGTCCGTTTAGGATAAACTAAATAGAGGCTTCTGAAGCGGATTCTAATCATAAACGGAGAGACCGTTTGCATTTTAACGCGATTACTACCACAACATTATTGCTGCTACTTCATGGATGTGGTCACTGTCTGTAGGCAAAATCTTCACATAATCTGCAGGTAGAGGATGACCCATGGTCATGGATCTATAACAGGGATGACCAGAGACCGTTCCAGACAACAATACATACGAGTTTTCAACTGCACATGCGCAGTTGAAAACTCGTAATTTTGACTTCTAAAGTCGAAATTTTGACTTTTAAAAGTCGTAATTTTGAGTTTTAAACTCAAAATTTTGACTTTCTGTATGCTTTTTTTTTTTTACATGGCGGAAATGGGCTTCCATATGTTTGTATCCACGGGTGGAAATCTCGCAAAATCTCGCACTTCCGCTTTCCAGCCCTATGGGCCAAGGCGATCTTACCTGTAACCACAGCGCACGGATGCGTGCACCAGAGTGGTGCAGAGCAGCGAGGAAATGCTGTATTTTGCAGTGATCAGACAGTGGCACTAAATGGAAAGTGAAGCGACTACTAAGTGACAGAATTTTAGAGGGATATTGCGTGAAAAAACAGAAAAGTTAAACTCCAAAAGAAAAAGAAGTAACAAGGAGGCAGCGCACACACTGGAGACCGATATTTTTAAAGATCCATGGGGGAGACGCGTGAGTGAAAGTGGCTGATGCACGAAGCGCTTTCCCTCAGCAGATGGCGCTGTTGTGCTGCTCATCTTCATCTGAATGCTGCTGTGACAGTGTTTATGTGTGTGTGCTGTACTTGTTTAACCAAAAATCTGTACTTAATACATCCTTGTGGCCATAATTCTAAATTCAGCATATAAAATAATTATAGTCTTACTATTTTTTTTTACATATCGTAGTCCATATATATTCCAAAGCTTGAAATACACTTTATGGCTGAATGAAACCTGTGTCTGTGAGCATTAAATCATTGATGTGTTTCACAAGGGACTCAAAATATCCTTTGACAAGGCCTATAACCTCTCCTTAGTGGGTCTGAAATGTGTCTTTGTAGATTATAAACTCATATGATGTAATCTTTACAGCTTCCCAAAAATATTTGTGTTTTTACTGCAATATCTATGAAGTTAGTATCTGAAAAGACCAGGAGAAATCTTATGAGAGCAGGTTCAAATGAACAGCAGCTGACACTTTTGCAGACTCTTAATGTATATAAACCTTATTGCAGCTTAATGTTGCTTAATTTAAGTTTCCCCCTATTTTAATGACAGAAAGTTGGTGAAATTTTGCATTTTTATGGTTGGGATAATGTAGGCTCAATGTCATTTTTTGTTCAAATATGGATGATAGGGCTCTGTAGTCTGACCTCAATGACTGATCAGGAATTCTGACCTAAAACAGTGATATGAAGACCAAGACTAATGTGAAAGTATGAAGAGACTCAAAGATGTATTGTTAAGTTTCTCATCCTTGATTATGGAGTGGGGGTGGGGAGTAAGTGGTGGGAGCCCAGGGAGGGCAGGTAAGGAAGGGAGTTCAGCTTCCTGATTGCCTGGTGGATAAAGCAGTTCTTCAGTCAACTAGACCAGTCCCGTGGATTAATCAGTCTCGTCCCTGAAGGCATTACTTTGAGGGCTGTTGTGGGTGAGTAGGGTCCCAGGTAATTCTGATGGCTTTGGGAGTGAGACAGGTGGAGAGTCCTGAATGCAGGGATAGGGATCTTCTGTTTCTCTCACAAAGTGCTCGAGGCTCCTGTGGCAGTGCTGACACTGTGCTACACAGTGAAGGAGCTGGTCAGGATGCTACTCTTTCACTCTGATCATAAGTGCATAGACTGAATATTAGGCGTGGACCAGCGTGGACTGACAAGAGTGACATCACCATAGTGTGTTAAAGCATAAAGATCTGAAAACCTATTTGGCCTCCAGTCGGAACAGGGCCTTTCTGAGTGGAGTTTGCATGTAGGTTTACTCTGGGTGCTCCGGTTTCCCCACCACTATAAACATGCCCAATATGTTAATGAGTGTGGATGGTGTTGATCATGGGCTTTGATGCGCCAGTGTGTTTGCCGTTTTGCTTCCGTCATCACTGTGTCTGGAATCATTGAAACAATATCTGAGCTCAGAATATTGTAAAGCACTTTGGGTGACCTTGCTCTGTAAAATGCACTATATATAACTGATCTTTACTATTGAAAATGTAAAACTTAAGTAAAGCCGCAAGCAGCGTCGAACGGTCCTCGTCACACCACACAAAGATGTGGCGCGTCAGAGCCACATATAATAAAAAATACGGCCTCCATTGGATAACAAGGGAACATCTATATGAAATTAACCACAATTTGAGAGTCTGCTGCAAGCGAACCGTTTTACTAATTCAAATTCTGTGATCAACTATTGACGGTACATGTGTTTAGATGTTGTGGAGCGATTTTCAGCCAAATTTGTGAAATGACCGAAGCTTGTTTGTTTTTAACGAGGTGTACATTTCAAAGGGAAAGGAATGTGCTTTTACCCTTCTGAAAACTTTTAATAAATGATTGAGGAAAAAAAACCATCCCCATAGTATTATCCTTAAAGATGCTGAAGAAGATGACAAAGTCTGGGATCGCGTCTTAAATTCAGACAGAAGACATGTTTTATTGTCGATGGTAGAGACAGCACGAACAAAGCACACAACAGAATGCAAGTGTATTATACAGAGCGGAGGCATGGAGACCTCCAATCAGCAGCTTGCACGGGTGCCATGTAGCTTGGCCTTCAGATAGACAAAACAAGGGAAAAGTACAGGCTTCTGCACATTGATAGAATGATGAGTTTAACTTTAACAAAAGTTGCTTCAAAGTGTTATGAAATCTCACAATGCTATACCCAATATATTTTCTAATGAGTTCATAAACATGTGTATAGTACATACAAGTTGTATTAAAATCAGTAATTTAATTTAAAACTTCAGCTCATTGATTCAGCTTGTGAATGAATTCAGGCCGTAAAAAGCGCGGAGCAGAGACTTGGGGTGACGCCAGCTCTCTTCCACTCACAGCTGTTCCGAACAGACTGCCTCCTCTAGCCTCTACAGCGTAGGTAAACAAGAGCAGCATTGAGGTGATAGTGGCTAAAGCTCCTCTGACTGTAGCTGCAGACACAGCAAATCAGCCCAAATAACGCAAGAGTGAGGAAGAGAAGAGGGAGCTAAAGCAAAAACAAATTCAAAGAAATCAAGGCCGGGTGATATACATAGCGTTATCTTACATCGTATCCTCTGGAGAGATCTGCAGGTGCGGGACCGCCTCAGACTACATTTGGACGCAAAACTAGTAGTAATCTTTCAGTTATACATTTTGTTAGCAGTGGGTTGCTTTTGTACCATGTCATCAGTGATTGTTGTACAGCTTACAGCTGTAAAGTATTTGCGCTAATGCTTGCATACGTATCAGATCGCAAATAAAACTAGATAGCTCCGTGGGATGAGAGCGTAGGGGAAATGAGAAGCCTGTGAGCGAGTTGGGAGAGCAGTGCAAAACATTCAAACTGAAGAACATCCTGCAGAAACGGGTATAGCTTCTTTAATGCAGGAAGAGCTGATTTCAACGTAAAGCACTGGGTAATCTTTGTAAAATGCGCTATATAAACAAACATTACTTACTAAGCTGGAGGCAATTTCCTTGTATGGGTGTTTCTTATGCAACATGAGCAGCTGTGTTGCTAAGAGGGTTACTAGGGCAAGCTGGAGTTTCCCCCGCAAATGAAACATCTGATTGTAAATCCAAATAAAAGCTATTTAAAGATTGGCCAAAGACAATATAAACACCAGGATCAGAGGGCGCTAAACCAGATGTAAGCCCAAAGTGGTGTGACACAAAAACAGTTACTGAGCTAGGAGAGTTTACTTTTACATGCAAGTCAATAGGAGCCAAACTTCACCATGAGCACTTCCCTATAAAGGCCTTCATTGGGCTAGTGGGCAGCATTATCCATTTGAATAAACTGATTCAGAGGTGCTCCTCTAGGTTCATATTAAAAACACTGTTTAAACTCAACTGTTTAATTCAAAGGGTTTTGATCTTGTTGTATCTTCATTATTACAAATTTATATTTTCTGTTGGATTAAGGAGCATTACAAGCAGAAGCACAAATATAAAATCCATGAGAAACAACAGTTTGTCTCAACCTTAAATCCACATTTTTTCCCATCTGGAGGAGATCCTGTTTTAATGTCCACAAAGAAGACGACGACATAACACTAGAGTCTCGGCTCACTCGGCATCATCATCATCATCGTTGTTGTCGTCGTCTTCCTCCTCCTCCTCCTCCAGAACAGGCGGGTCCTCTGCTCCAAAGCTCTCAAACTCTCCGGTCGCAGAGTTCCACATGCATTTAATCTGAACCTTAAACTCTGCCATCTCAACACCCAGCAGCTTCTGAAAACCAGAGGAGTAAAAGTATCTTTGATAAGTATTTTAAACATGAAAAACAACTGTTCTTTCTAGTTCAATATATGTGCCCTGGCTCATCTCTAGTCTCTGAGGGAGCAGTGTCTACAGTCAGAGCTCTCAGTACCCACCAGTGTTCCCTCTAACCTGCACTCGTGCGCAATTGCGCAGTGCTTTTAGGGTCTCTGTGCACAGAAATCTCGGTCCTGCGCACAAAATAAAAATCCAGCGTCCTGTGCCACCAGCGCATAATGCCGCTGCCGCATATTTCTACAGTATGGACAAAAGCTCTCTGTAATAAAGATGTGTACAGCCCGCAAGTGCGGGTGAAGCGCCCAACACAGAAGTCTGGGTGAAGCTGCGTTTGATCCAGAAGTGGACTAGAATCAACCACACCCTATACTCTGAACCGCAAATGTGGACTCCCGCTGAAAGATCTCAGCTCTTGTGGACTCACCACCTGCAGGAGGATCAGTGAGGGGGCTGGTGCTCTGTGTATTGGGTGCAGCTATGACTGCCACCCCCGACCCAGAAATGGATTAAGGGGAAGAAAATGGATGGATGGATGGAAGTAAATGGGATTGCAGCAGGTGTATATAACACGTGAATAGTTTTCAACAGAGATCTCTCACTAAGAGTGCTCCACGTGCCGCTCAGGGGGGTTTGTGTTTTTGGTCACACCCATGAATAATTAGAGGTAACACGAGGGAGTAGCATCTGCAGTTAGAGCTCTACGTCCTCTCCCTCACCTCTGGTCCTGATTTTTGGGTAATGACCGAAATCGCGGATACAAGCAGTCCACATGAGTTTCCACCAGAGTTAAGCTCCATTAGAGCAGTGTTTTTCAACCACTGTGCCGCGTATGATATTGTCTGGTATGCCGTGAGAAAGTAATCTACTTTGTCTAAAAATATCTGCATTCGCTGTTGGCGAGTGCGGACTTGTTTTGAACTGTGGAGTAACCATGTAATACTTTTTCATATCGGTAGATGGCAGCAAATAGCCAAGTACTTAGAAACTTAAAAATTGGATGACCAATGTATGTAACAGGTAGCGGGGAGCATTGTGGCGAGAAACGTAAAAATTGGATGCGACCAACAAATGTAAGAGTTGTAGCGAGACAAGAGCTTTGTGGCGAGTGAGAAGCGAATGTGATAGAAAAGTTTTTGAAAAGGAATTATGCCATTTCTGAACAGGATTCACATCCTCCGCTCTGACCCCGGGGCAGCCGTGGCCGCGTTGTCAAAAATTTTACATTTCATAGTTAAATCAGTACAACGGCTCACGCAAACGCACATCCAAACTGGGTACCGAGCGCGGACCAGTGTTGCGTGGACAGAATCACGGACGCGCGCACAGAGCCATAGACGCGCAGACAGAACCGTGGACGCGCAGACAGAACCGTGGACGCGCAGACAGAACCGTGGACGCGCAGACAAAACCGTGGACGCGCAGACAAAACCGTGGACGCGCAGACAGAACCTCCCGTGTTTCTCTCATGTCTCACCCGTGTCTCCTCTTGAAGAGCAACCAAAACTCCTGAATTTAAAGCTCGGATACCTGAATTTCCCCCATGCATTAATAATGCATGTTATTTGTGCACAAAAGTTAAATGTGAACAAATCAAACAGAACACACAACAGGCCATATTATGTGTTATTACTTTGCATACTTAAGAGCCCTCTGAGTCAATATTTGACTATTTGGGCAGAGTGTATTTTCTTTGTTTTTTTTCCCACACAGTGCCACTTTATTCCCAAACTCTTGTTTACTCATTGTATTGAGAAATATTAAACAAAACTTAATGTCAAGGTCTGGATTTAAGCACTTTGATGAGAAAAACTTTTTATTGTGAATATAGGCTACAGAGTATATATATTATAAATAGAGTATGTATAGTATATATTTTTACATTTTCTCTTGGTGGTGTGTTGCAAGATTTTGTCAATGAAAAAAGTGTGCCTTGCCTCAAAAAAGGTTGAAAAACACTGCCTAAGAGATATGGTATGGCGTTCGGAGTAGAGCCTTAGAAAAAGCTCAGTCATATAGAAGAAGCAAAGTCACACAGGAGAAGATCAGAGAAGAGCTGCTAACATTTGTTTTGGATTGTGTCACATTATTGGTGAGAATTATAATGGACATTATATCAATTTCAAAGCCCCAAACAGGATCCAGCCAAGACAGTTTTACACCAGTGGTGGTAGGGGTATCGAATCGATACAGTATCGCTTTACCTTATTCATTCTCTCCAAGTTTACATCTGAGGTTTGTGTTACTATATTATGTCTGCTTTTGGTTACTCTAGTCTATTGTATTTGAATAAATTGAGTTATGTGCTTGGAGTTCACCATTCATGTGAGAGGTCGCCTAAAAAGGTCCTGCCTGCTTGAATGTTCAAGGATAACATTTTTGCAGTGTGCAGACCATAGTTAATGTCCATCCATCCATTTTCTTCCATCTTAATCCATTTCTGGGTCGGGCGGGTGGCAGTCAGAGCTGCCACCCGCCCAGTACACATAGCACCAGCCCCTCACTGATCCTCCTGCAGGTGGTGAGTCCACAGGAGCATTAACCATAGTTAATGTAAATAAGTTATTTTATACAGCGCCTTTCACAGGCCAGAGTCACAAAGCGCTTTACAATTGTGGGCACTCGTCTCACTCCACACAGAGATGGGAGCGAGGTCACCAGTAAACTGAGGCACATGCCAGACCTATTGTACATGTTTTAGTGGTAGGGGCAACTGGAGCACCCAGAGGAAACCTACACATACACAGGGAGAACATGCAAACACCACTCCAAAGGGCCCTGTTCTGACCGGGATTCGAACCCAGGACCTTCTTGCTGAAAAGCAAGAGTGCTAACCACTTAGCCACCCAATGTGACATTTGAATTCAGCAGTCTTATTTTGTAAAGCCTTTCAATAATATGGGTGACATGAATCGCAATATATTGCAGAATCGAATCAAAATAATAATTTTTACAATACTATTTCAATAGTCAGATGTTTGTCAATTCCCACCCCTATTTTACAATCCATGTTGTCCATCCCTGGACATGTCTGCTGAGCTAAAGTTGCCCCTTCACTAAAACCTCTGGTCTAGATGCTAACAGGATTAGCAGGTCCTCACCAGTATCCGAGCTTGTTCTGGCGTCAGAACATCCCCTTCTTTACAGACTTCGTGATCCTTCAATAACGTCACAACTCCTGGATCAAAGACAAGAGAACACATTAAAATACACTGCTACAATCACATAACTCACACAGATCAGTACCCTTCTTGAGGGCTGTGGGGAGCCCGAGCTGCCTCAACTGAGGCTCCATGGAGTGAGTGAACTGCTCCAGGGGCCCTTCATCCAGAGTGACCGCCATCTGAGCCACGTTTCCTGCCCGCGCAAAGTCAACGTCTTTGAAGAGACTGAAATACCTGAAGAAGACAGAACACAATCATTTAAAAAGGTGAAAGAGTGAGCGATCGTTAGCGTTAAGCTAATACTCACTCCTGAACTTCCTCTTTGGTTTTGTTGGTGAATAACACACCCACTTCTCCTCGGAGATGCTTCGTTACCTGAACAACAAAAGAGTTTATACCTTTGAAAATGGAGCAACAAGACTAATAAAAACATTTAGATATAGAAAAGCTATACAAGAATATCCTCTTGGATTGCAAACACAGATTTCACAGAATTAGATTTAGCCGTTTTTAAAATGCCAGAGAAATGAGAACACAATATCTTCTGATATACATTTTATGAAAAGAAGTTTGTGGAAACCCAAGTCACTGTATAGCCAGAGTCATGGGTTTCTGACTGGTTCCTCTCTGATGCAGGAGGGCCTTAAGATAGTTATGATCCTGGACGATGTCTGCACATTTTTGAACATTTCTGGACAGTGGTCATTCTGCTCCCAATGGACAAATCATATGTTAGTTATCATTACATTTCCAGTGTTCGAACTTACTTTGTGCAGATTGTCCTTGTATTCGTCCGTGTTTCGTTTCCCCAGTGCAACCATCATCACTTTGTTTTTGCCAAAGAAGAATCTGCATCAGATAAAAGTCTACTGTTAAGTAGTGAACAGAAAACAGAAGTTCAGAGTAAAGCTCTGTCACCTGCTGTGCTTCCATGCCGTTCGAACGTCTTTCAGTTTGTTGTTTCTCATGTTTTCCACAGAGAATATGAACAGGTTTGTGTATGTGTCTGTGCATTTCCTCAACTGCAACAGGAGTCAAAACAGGAGCCAAAATTTGAATCAGATGTTAAAAAAGTTCTACAATATACCCCTTTAGGAGCAAACGTCTCCAACACTTAATCAGATATTTTGCTCGTATTTGTCAATGCCATCATTACTATTATATTATTCTCATAATATTGGGATTTTATTCCAATTATCTTTTAATTTATAATCATGTTTAATTAATCTATATTCGTATAAACAACACTGCCAGACTTGTAAATGTGTTACTTTCATGTCTGTGCAGCAGTTTGGAAAATGTTATTATAAAATGTGCTATATAAATTAAGTTACTTAAAGAGCCATGGGCTGAGTTTAGGTGCTCCTCTCTTTTCCACTGTTCGCCTGAACAGGCTGATCTACGTGATGGCGACCAGATTGGATTGATGACACAGTTCCATTGTTTTGAGGTTTAAAAGTCAGGTACGCAGCTTTAACATGAATAAGGCTGTGACACTTACCTCTTCAATAAGCTTCTGTTTTAACTCGAGCCCCTTCTTAGCTGTTTTTGTTAAGGACACTAAACAAAACAAAACAGGACATTTAATCAGACAGAGGAGTTTACATTAAAGTTAGCTTCTCGTGTTTCTCAAATGTTTTCATATAAACAAATGAATAACACTAGCATCCGGTATTAGAAACACAACGCGTTTGTGTTGTGTATTAGAAACACAATAAAAGGGGGTAGCTGTATTTAACTCGCCTTTCTTGTCTCTCTTTGACTTCGGCATGATGCTAGTTTTGTGTCTCCCTCATGTACGAGCAGCACACGTGAACCGGAAAGACCCCTCATGTTTCTGTACCATAAGCTGCCCCGGTTCCGCCTGTACAAAAAGGATATTAATTCGTCACATTTGTATATTAAGGACATATACAGGTTACATGTTCAATTGACTATATAACATTTAGAAAGTCTGTTTTTTTATATTTCCAAATTACGTTAAAAGTAATCAGGTGTGTCCCTATGCATAGCTAGTTCTTCCACCAGAGGGTAGCAAATCACTGGAATCTGTAGAATCAACAGGCTCCTGAGTCACAAAATAATCCTAAATGCAACTGTATGTATCAGATCAATGTTATTTGCATTTCCCAAAGAAGATCTCAGGTCCAGGGAGTCAATGGTTTTCTTTTTTAATTACATTTTTAAATATGCCTGAACAATGACATTAGGTAGACTGTGCAAAATATGACATGTTTTCTATAAGATAAGGACAGCAGTGGTCTCTCTTTCTGTTGGACAAGTTCTTCCAGCTTATCAGTAAGTAAAATCACTAAAGGAGAAAATTACAATACTATATAGAATGTATGACTGTTTACCCCTACTGATGACGTGACTGCCTCAGCCCTGGATCTACAGCCTCAGTCTACGATCTACAGCGTCAGTCATGGATCTGCAATCTCAGTCCTGGATCTACAGGCTCACGGCTGTGTTTCTGAGAGGTTCCTTCCCGATGCAGGAGGGTCTAACGACAGTGATGATCTGAGGACATTTCTGCACTATTGTTAACATCTGGAGTGGACAGTGGTCATCTCACTCCCTATGGACAAATGGCTTATACGTGTTTGCTATTATTGAATTCCTTGTGTTTGAACTGTTTGATTATCTTATCTGTTGTTGGTGAATCAACAACTTTATAAAGTGAAAAGCGGTTTAGGGCGAGACACAAACACAATGAAAGTAATTGAGTTGAGTTGAAATGGTAAATTAAGGATTTGCTGACCTCATCATCAGTACTGTAGACCACGACTGTATGTCAGTGGGATGTGTTGGATTTCCCAGAGGAGAGAAACCGACAGGCTGGGACAGGAGGGCGGGGCCTAGAGAGGTATAGTGCCGAGTTTAGCACTTTGCAACACGATCCTGTCCGTGCAGCACTCTGTTCAGCTCGAATCAGCAGCAGCAGAGGCAGCGAGAGGAGAGACCGAAGACCGCTGGACTGCTCCGGCTGCTGCATCAAGGCATGGGGACCGGAGCAGGCCACAGAGCATCGTGAAGCCATGTCTTTGTGAGATCCCGTTTCTATTAAGAGCTTATTAAGAGTGAGAGAAATGTGGCTTTCGGGGACTAGAACCACCGCTGCTTCACCTCCCTGCGCTCTGCGTCAAACCCCCGGTGTGTTCAGATGATGTGTCCTCTGTTCGGACTGTGAGGTTGTGTATTATTTGCTTGAGTTTTGCTGCAATGTGACAGTGACACAGCAGTCTGCATATTTCAGCCTCGTAAGCACAGTGGGAGCTATGAGAACTGGACCGCGTCAATAATCTCTAGGGATGTTTTCTGCCGATATGAACGCTCTCTTCTACCCGGACAGTGGTGCACCTGCTCCCGTGTGCGCTCTGCCGTCTACCCCTCACCCTCCGGTGGTCAGCAGCGCTCTGAGGAACGACCTGGGCTCCAACATCCACGTCCTCAAGACTCTCAACCTGCGATTCCGCTGCTTTCTCGCCAAAGTCCACGAGCTGGAGAGACGGAATAAACTTTTGGAAACTCAGCTGCAGCAGGCTCAGCAAAGGCACCAGTATCGCTCGCTTTACGTCCGGGATGTGGCGGTGCAGACAGATGGGCCCGGGTCCAAGATGCCCGGGACCATTTGGAGTTTCACCCACGTCCGGAGGCAGGGGGAGAGGGTGGAGACGGTACAGGGGCCTGGGGTAACGTGGTCGCACCCGGACGGAGTAGGGGTGCAGATCGACACCATTACGCCTGAGTTGAGGGCTCTGTACAACGTCCTGGCTAAAGTCAAGAGGGAGAGGGACGAATACAAGAGACGGTGAGTGTCTGCTTCTGCTTCAGTTTATTTGCCATTTGGAGTACACCATATTGGAATAACTGCTAATATGTGTTGTGAGATGTGTTAGAATGAAGATGAGTAGTTTGAGAGGGAAGGGCCGTGATCAATCAGCAACAAACACTGGGCTTTGTACAGTGGCGGTAGGGTGTCTGGGGCCTAAGTAAAACATACCCCCCAACTCTCCCCTTTCTTTTAAAAGAAAGAAAGTTGATTGTCATTAAAGTGAAACAAACTACAAACGTCCAGTAGTTGTATGTTATATGCATGCTTTAAGAAAGATTGTGCTTGTCTGTTTCATTAGAAGTTGATTTCTGTATTTTCTCATTTCTATTTATTTATTGTTTATTTGGTTGGGAAAGTACATGTTAATGAACACATCACTCTTGTTCCACATTCACACTGACAAACACACACTCATTCACCCTGAACTATTGCACATGTTTTTAGTGGTAGGGGAAACCGGAGTACCTGGAAGAAAACCTTCGCAGACACGGGGACAACATGCAAACTCCACTCGGAAAGGCCCTGTTCCGACCGGGATTGAAACTCAGAACCTTCTTGCCGAGAGGCGATAGTGCTATCCAATCAGCCACCGTGCCACCCAAAGTTGCTACTTGCTGAACGTTTATTTTTAACCTTTAAAACTATAGTCAATACAAAAGCAATACATCCTTTTGACGACTATGACTACTGACTGCGGATCCCAAAAGCTAATGAGCTCGAATTAACACTTTTGTTAATATAAACATTAGTTATTATTTGCATTATTATTCGAAACATATAATGAATGCAGCTTAAAACAGAACTATAGCTTTAAAAGCAGTGGGACGAAGCAAATCCTTTTGTGGCTCCAACACATTCACACACAAGTGTGGTTGGTGCGTGGTAGATGCTGTTGTGCCAATCCCGACCGTAGTGTTGTGGCTCAAGATCATGCTGGCTCTGTGCTCTGGAGGCAGCAATACTGACATAATCCTGTTCCACACTGAGCCATAGAGCTAAATGTGTCAAATGGCAGAAGTGAGGCAACCAGTATTTGCCATCTACCCCTCCCACCATCACCAACCATTCACTCACACACCAGACCCATTCTAATGTAGGTGAAGTGTTTTGCCAAAGGACACAACCACAGTTTGACACAGCCGCCCCACTGTGGCACCTGGTGTTCCCAGAGGTCTCCCATATCATCTCTTTCTGGTCTCACTGGTCACTCTTTGGTCTCTATCTCTGGTCTCTCTCTGGTCTTTCTTCCAGGTCTCTGTTCTCAATGGTGTTGTCACTGCCTTTCTGCATGTCCCACAGTCTGCAGAATAATACAGACTTATCAGTGGAATCTGATCTACAGTCTTTGGGGAGTTCAGGGTAATTTGTAATTTGTAATTTTCTTTATTTAGAGAAACAGGGACAGTGTACAATAAACATTAACCCCAAGGGGAGAGATGCATTGTACCAAGTTATAGCTCAAGAGCTAATTTCCACCCGTAGTCCCTGGTGAGTCAGCCATTCACCAACTTCAAAATTCCACAAAGAGCTTTTTAAATATTCTGACGTTCTATTGAGGAGATGTTTGCACTTTATCAGAAGACTCCACATCCACAGCTTTAGTCGCTTTGGTCATGTTGGAGCATGTTCATGTATTATGTTCATGGATTACAATCTGAAGAGACAAAAGGGGGTTTAGAATGAGTGACATAGTAATCTGTCACTGCAAGATCAGCACACACAGTCTGCAAGCACTGTATGCAAGAATATATTTACTGCTGCTGTACCTATGATTTGGTTATAGATTTGGTGTCTAGACCTCAGCAGAGCACTGTGACCAACAGGACAATCAAAAGAGAGAATGAGATGGAATTCTCCAGGGCCTTGACCCTGGTGGTGGGAGCTCAGGAGAAGGGTAGAAGAGTTGGTCTGGCTGATGCAGCAGTAATGGGGAGGAGGGTTGCGGCACGATATGAAAGCTTGATGATGATGCAGGGTAGTGTGTGTGATTGACTGAGGGCTGATGGAGTGCAGTGAGCTTGTCCACATGTAGTTTCCAGTCTAAACCTCTGCTTAGCTTCTTTACTATGCAGATCTTATGGAATTCTCCTCGGCTGATTTCTGACTGAAGGTTGTGGTTTCAGTTTCAGTTTAGTTTATTTGAAAGGGGACAATGTAATTTAATAAAACACATGATAAAACATGGGTTAAAAAAGCCAGAATTAGCCAAGGAGGATATTTTTCATCTGTAGTTTGATCCTCCCACTAGACCTTCTCCACCAACTCCCCCTGATGTCTGCAGTCTTTGTGTCCTTGGGCAAGACACTTAACCCTACGTTGCCTAATGCCCCTGCTGAAAGATCAAGGCTATACTGTCCCCGACAGTATACCATCCTCCTGTGGACCAACCACCTGCAGAAGGATCAGTGAGGGCCTGGTGCTCTGTCTATGGGTGCATCTCTGATTGCCATCCCCCAACCCAGAAATCGGGGGATGGCAATCAGGGGAAGAAAATGGATAGATGGATGGATGATTTCCGATGCATTTTTATTCTGGAACTGTCATTGTCCATGTAGGTTTAAAACTGTGAAGCCATTAATTTCTTCCTGTAAAGAAGAAGATATCAAAAGCAGCCGAAAGAGCTGCTTTATTGTCAGCAATAATTTTTCTATTAGTCAACTAAACTTTTCTTTCACCTGCATTGAAAAGCAAGAGACAAATAACAAGTCAAATGCATATATTTATATACTTTTTGTTTGTTTGTTGTATTTGTTGCATGTTGATATGTCTGTTTTGTTGTCTTTGATAAAGGAAAAAAAAAGTAGTTTTTTGATATATCGTGCAGCCCTAGTGTACAGGTTGGTGTGTCTTGACCGACAGTCTTGGGCGACTGTTCTGTCAACCAGGAGCTGGTGTTTGGCTCCTCTGGTATTTCTACTAATGCCCTTCTGTGCTGTGCTCATGAATTATTCCATGTGCCCACTGGAATCTTTGCCACAATGATGCCTGACATTATTGTTATATCTATCTATCTCTATCTATCTATATACAGTATATATATATACTTAATAATTGTCTCAATCCCTGTTTGATTTTGAGACTGCTGCTTCTATCCATGTTCTTGTGCAGATCCCATCCAGTCCCAGAATCTTTTTAACTTGAAAGTTAAGCAAGCTTTAAGTGACAGTAAACTGCGAACTCAATATAAAAGTGGAGTAACAATTCCTGTGGAGAAGGTGCCAGACGTGACACAGATAAAATACATTTAGGCCCAGTTTACACGGAGACAATGCAGCAGTAAAACGCTATAGTTCGATGTTGGTTGCTACCAACCGTTCATACGAAGAGTGTGTTCTAGGGGGGTGAAACGTAAGTGTTCAGATCCAGCCTGCAGAGTGGGATAGCTCAGATACGCTGCTCAGCAGGGGCTCTCTTTCACACCCGCGTAAGGAAAAAGGTGTGAATTCCCTGCCTGATCTGACCCCCACCTCCCCACTGATCCCCGCACATAAATTTGGATATGCGCTGTAGCCAAGAACAAACGTAAACAACAATGGCGGCGGGTACACTAACTAGCTACTTGTGCTTCGAGCGCTACACAGAGGATAATTCTACACCTTCGTTTGTCCAAACAAAACCACGCAAAGCTATAGGTTCAGTTTCTATTTTCGCAGCTGCTGTTAAAATGCAGAATGATGTTGGTGCATCTTTCACGTCTTCCAGAGGAAGTGAGTATACTGCTGGGGGGACGCTGGGGCTCACGTGTGTCGTGTTGTAAAGTTTCTCTGCCCACTACTGTCCGGGCGCTAGAACTACATAGTTTTTGATACTCGTATTCATGCTGTGAAATTTGCATCAGGAGCCTGGCCGTTTCTGTTAATATTCTGGAAACGTCTGTGCAGCGCCTCCGTATAAATTCAGCCTCACTGTGTGTTTTGTCCCATGAGCAACATCCAAGTGATAATGGTCACAGAGGTCACAGCGTCAGAGTGTTTCCAGAATGTGTCACGGGTTTGAGGAAATCTCACTGATGGAAATTATGTCCAATCTTACATTTTTTCTCAGTTGCTTTGGTGCATTTCTCACATCAGACTTAAAGTTCTCATAACTATTAGGTCAACCTTCACAACATTGAGTCATTGGTGGACATCATTGTAGCAGTTTCTTATTCCTATGAATACATTTCAAATGCTTTTGGACATGCATCAGTTACTTTCATACAATTCTCAGATGTTTTATAACATTATCATTTGCTTCTGTCATGTTAGTCAAAATGAAACATACCTATGAAGTCATTCCCTATAAAACCAGAAGTCCTCATTTCATTGCTTTAGTCATCACATACACAATTGTTGAACTAGTTCTCAAAATAAAAATCTGTCAAACTTATTTCATAAATTCCTTTATTTGTTTTTTCCTGAAATGTTTTCCTAAATTGAACATTTGCTCTCAGGTGAATTTCAGCTTCACTCATGAGGAAGTGTGTTAGGGTGTATTCAGACCAGAAAAGTCCTTTGGTCCGCTTGCTTGGTCCGAACCAAAAGCGGACCAAACATTTTTCTTTTGGTCCGGTTCGTTTTCAGACTGTACTTTTTGCAAGTTAACTTTTTTTATAAATATATCAATGCGTGTGACGATCAGCGCTCCTATTGGACAGCGAGAGCTCACGGAGAATAGATGCGGAAATGGAGGAAAATATTGAGCTTGTACGTCTGCCCTGCCTACGTTTGCTCTTTTTAGAGCAAATCGACCGCATTTTTGTGTGTCTTTTCCAGAAGTTGGGGTTTATGTTCCAAATTTCAAGGAGGCACAGTGTTTCCTTGTTGCTCGAGGCCTGCCCACTGCTCATTGTTGTTGTATAGCATGCGTTAGCAGCTGTGACGCGTGGCTAATTCCTCACAGTTCCTGTCTACGGTGGCTTGTAAGGCCAAAAAACATCTGACCTTGTTGTTCATACTCAATGTTGTTAGGACATATTATTTTGACGACACAGACAATTTC